TGTGTGGCATGCGTTCAAATTTACAATTCTACACAGTTCTGTATAACTTTATACATTTAGACATTGTTTTAGATGAAACAAATTGTAATGTCAAAAATTGCTTATTTATAATTGTGTACAATTGTTGTGTGTGGTGTACGCCTCTCTCTCTCTCTCTAGCGTGCGCGCGACATATTTTTGTATGTATGTCCAGAGGCAGCTTTCGGGACATTTTGTGGAACATAATAGCAGTTTTCAGGACTTTTGTTGGTTTTCAGGACTGTCCCGAAAATATTTCTATGTCCAACGGCAGTTTGCAGGACGTCCCGAGAACTACCATTGGACATAAAATAGAGCTGTCCTGAAATCCACCTTTTAATATATAATATATTCACATGCCGTTTGTATTATATATTGACATTTTTCAGGACATGTTACTAATTTCCAGTAAAATTTTGTTTATATTTAAAAACACGGACTACTAGCGACGAGCTACAAACATAAGCATATTATTTATACACATTTATACATTTATAATCAGCGTACGATAAATGTAATATCAGCCTTAGGACAAAGACATGAAAAAAAGTAATATTATACATACTTAGTACCAAACAGATATTATTTTATACGTTATATCAAATGTATATGTACATTTACACTATTTACGAAAGAGCAGTTTCCAGGACCTATCCCACTACGTGGCATTTGTCAAAGTTTTTGATAATATAACACGGCCGTTTTCTGATCGGAATTATCGTGCGTAATAAAACATTTGTGCTACCGCGAAAACCATACCATATACGCACAATTATTCGAAACAGTGGCGTTGTATTATGAAAATCAAAGGTTTTCATTATATAACGCCACTGTTTCGAATAATTGTGCGTATATAGCATGGTTTCTCAGTATAACGAATGTTTTATTACGCACAATAATTCCGACCAGAAAACGGCCGTGTTATATTATCGAAACCTTTGACGAATGCCATGTAGTAGGTTAGGTCCTGGAAACTGCCCTTTCACATACAGAATGTGAAAGGGCAGTTTTCAGGACTTGTCCGACTATAGTATAGGATTCGTCAAAGTTTTTCATTATATAACGCCACAGTTTCGAATAATTGTGCGTATATAGTATGGTTTCTCAGTAGCACGAATGTTTTATTACGCACAATAATTCCAAACAGAAAACGGGCGCGTTATATTATCAAAAACTTTGATGAATGCCATGTAGTAGGATAGGTCCTGGAAACTGCCCTTTCGTAAATAGTGTAAATGTACATATACATTTGATATAACGTATAAAATAATATCTGTTTGGTACATAATCTTACTTTTTTCATGTCTATAATATTACTTTTTTCATGCCTTCGTCCTAAGGCTGATATTACATTTGCCGTACGATAATTATATCAGCCTAACGATGTCATGTTTCACATGTTCAGGTTAAATGATACACTCATGCACATCAATAACATATTACGTAACTTAAACAGTGGGAAAATTAACCGGGAATTTGCGGAAAAGATGATATTAATATCATGTGTCATAATACAATTAATATAAATATTCATTCAAAACTTTGGTAGTCCAATAGTACACATGTCTACATAAACGTTCATTAAATTTGCAACATAACTCTATTTCCTTCTCGAAACTTCACTGCATAAGTTCAAAAAAGAAACAGAATAACCAAACGTGCAATAAATGCGGTCGACAGTTTTATTTGTCACTGAAGTGATACAAAGCCGATATTATTGAAATTTTATAAATTTTATGTACAGATTTTTCAGGCAAAGAAAATACGAGGCTACTTGTTACACTTATCGCAAAACACAAAACATGATAAAAGAAAAAAGTTTTATAATACTTTCGCTGCATGTAGCAAAAAACATTTCAGGTTACTGGATAAAATTGAGAATGGATCGAAATTTATCATATCAGAGCAAAATTTATTGAATCCCAGTTTCATTACAACCTCAATGTTCACCCGTATATCACGGCTTAATGAAATTTGGTGTTATTTCGATGCCACGTTACAAGACTCTGATAGCGAAGCCAGTTAAAAATAAAATCTCGCTTAAAAGAGGCCCGCTTCATGTATATCGAGTTATGCACACTGTCACAATATTCAACTTCAATATGACCCACATTTCCAGTCTTTTAGTTGAGAGCACTAGATGTAGAAGTGTTGTGTTAGCAAAAACTATAAAGTGCACACATTAAGTGCTTTATCATATATTTCGAATACTGTCACTACTGTGGCAGAATGTTAATAACAAATTAAGCTACATAAATGTAGAGAAGAGCTTCTACATCTAGTGCTCTCAACTAAAAGACTAGAGATGTGGATCGACTTAGAGTTAAACATTGTGACAGTGTGCGTAAGTCGATATACATGAAACGGGCCTCCTTTAAGCGAGATTTTATATTTAACTGGCTTCGCCATCAGAGTTTCGTAACGTGGTATCGAAATAACAACAGATTTCATTGAGCCCGTGATATGCGGATGAACATTGAGGTTACAATAAAACTGGTGTTCAATCAACTTTGCTCTGCTATGGTAAATTTCGATCCATTCTCAATTCTATCTTGTAATCTGAAATGCTTTTTGCTGCATGCAGCGAAAGTATTATAGAACTTTTTTCTTTTATCATGTTTTGTGATTTGCGATAAGTGTAACAAGTAGCTCTGTATTTTATTTGCCTGAAAAATCTGTACATAGGATTTATAAAATTTCAATAATATCAGCTTTTTATCACTTCAGTGACAAATAAAACTGTCGACCGCATTTATAGCTTGTTTTGTTATTTTGTCTCTTAATCAAATTTATACAGTGAAGTTCCGAGAAGGAAGAAGAGTTATATTACAAATTTAATGAACGTTTATGTGGACATGTGTACTGTTGGACTACCAAATTTCTGAATGAATATGTTTATATTAATTCTATTATGATACGTGATATTAATATCACCTTTTCCGTCAATTCCCGGTTAATTTTTCCACTGCTTAAGTTACGTAATATGTTATTGATATGCAGGATTGTATCTCAATCATTTAACCTAAACATGTAAAACATGACATCGTTAGGCTGATATAATTATCGTACGGCAAATGTAATATCAGCCTTAGGACGAAGGCATGAAAAAAGTAATATTATAGACATGAAAAAAGTAAGATTATGTACCAAATAGATATTATTTTATACGTTATATCAATTGTATACAGAGATGGGCGGCAGTAATTACTTTTGTCTTCAAATTACACATTTAATTACAAATTACTTTTACTACTTGTAATTGAAATCCATTTAATTACCCATTACTTTCAGCATTTGTATTTAAGTTCCATTCAATTACTAATTACTTTGAGCATTTGTAATTGATGCCCAAGTAATTGATGCTCAAAGTAATTAAATTACATCACGTAACTTAATTACATTCATGTAATTAAATTACATTCGTGTATTCCTTGTTCGAATCGAGTTAACAACAAAAAGAACGTAAAATTGTACTTACTGCAAGACAACTTGTTCTGTTCACGTCGAGCAAAGGTTAATTTTTGGTCTTAAGATTGTTCGCGAGTTGCGAGATGCCTTCGCAATATTCAAACATTGTCCGATAGAATGATGGAAATTCGGCTCTATCATTCGAATATATTATGTCTGAATTCGTCATAAGGAGGTACGACTGTTTCCTATATGTAGTAGATTCCTTTCCGTAAATAAACAGTATACGGCTATTCTATATGTATAATAATTTCTCCAGAACATATTAGCATTAATGCAAGCCAAAAAGCAGAGACATATAAATGTGGCAATTATATACATTGTTTAAGTATTGGTGCTAAATGTTGCAGAATAAATTCAAGTTTTTATAAGGTACAAAACTATGTTTTTATAAGGTAGTAATTTTCAAGCTCACAAAGTATCTCATTAAAATTTTATTTATTATTGGCCAAAAGCTGACATACATGACATCAAAATGATATGTAACAAGCACATTTCCCGACCTTTGGATTTCTACGTTTCGATTAGATACATATCTCATCAATATACATATGTTGATGAGATATGTATCTAATCGAAACGTAGAAATCCAAAGGTCGGGTCATGTATGTTGATGTCATGTATGTCAGCTTTTGGCCAATAATAAATAAAATTTTAATGAGATACTTTTGTGAGCTTGAAAATTACTACCTTATAAAAACATAGTTTTGTACCTTATAAAAACTTGAATTTATTCTGCAACATTTAGCACCAATACTTAAACAATGTATACAGTGTGTTTC